GGCCCGCGCGGAGGAAATCCAGAGGCGGATCCTGGAGCTTGAGCCGCGTGGGAATTGCAGGAGGGTTGGGGTTTGGGGTTTGGGGTTTGGGGTTTGGGGTTTAGGGTTTAGGGTTTAGGGTTTAGGGTTTAGGGTTTAGGGTTTAGGGTTTAGGGTCGGCTTCGTGGTTTAGGGTTAGAGGGGTGTTCAAGAGATCAACACTCGTACTCCTCAGGTTGTACCCCCAAAAGGGTTCCCCTATATACTCCTAACACTACACCTTACATTCCCATATTAGATCCTTAGGAGGGTCCCCCAAATCCTAAAGGTACAACCTTAAGGGTCCCAAAAGCCGCCTTAAGAGTTTGGAAGGTGCTTCGGTTGAGGCCTTCAGGCTTAAGTTGTGTGGGTTCTTAAGGTTTAGGGTTTAGGGATGTAGGGTTTCGGGCTTTAGGGACCCTTAGGGAGCAGCAGGGAGTATTAGGGAACCTTGGGTTACATACCTCCCTTGAACCCCCCTCCCTGAACAACCCTATAATTAAGGTTTCGGGTGTTTGGGACTTAAGGGGATGGGGCTGGGAGTTTAGGGTTTAGGGCCTCCGATGTCAGGTTCCGATGTCAGGTTTAATGTTTCGGGTGGGCTTTGGGGTTAGGGTTTCGACTTTAAACTGTAAACCCTAAAACCCAAACCATCGGCTCAGGTTCCCCTCACCCGGATGTCGGCCTATGAGCCGTTATAGAATGTGGGGGGGTTCTAGGTGCTTGTGGCCCTAAATTACTAAACCCTAAACCCTAGACCCTAGACCCTAATCCCTAAACCCCTTGTGAGCCTTTGAAAGCTACAGGATTTTAGAACTGGGGTCTTTGGATGCCACCAAGGCCTCTAAGAGTCCTACTAACATTGAGGGTTTAGGGTTTCGGGTTCAGGGTTTAGGGTTTCGGGTTTGGGGTTTAGGGTTTCGGGTTCAGGGTTTAGGGTTTAGGGTTTCGGGTTTAGGGTGTTCCTCCCTTCTCAACCCAGGCAGGGGATGAGCAACGTCCAGAGGAAGCAGCACCTCTGACAGAACTTGGTAGCCCGAGCCCCTAAATCCCAAACCTTAACCCCTAAACGCTAAACCCTCCTACAGGGTTATATGGGGGGGGGGGGGGGGCGGGGGTGGGGGTAGGGGTAGTGCCCAACCCCACGGTTGAGGGTTTTTAGACTTTAGCGAGCATGTAGAATTGCCAGGCGCTTGAACCCTAAACCCTAAACTCTAAACCCCAAACCTTGCGTAGTTCAGATGCTCAAAACTCTGTAAAGACTAGGGCTGGGGATGTTCTCCCTTCTACTACTAGTCCTTATTAAGGATTCTCATAGGGGGCACTCTCATCCCTATGAAGGACTGCTAGTATAAGGGGGAACATCCCAAGACTAGGACTGACTAGGACAGCTTGGGGCTGGTGTTGCCAGGTGCTTTGGTTTTCCTTGCTTCATCTCTCTGCAATTAGGCCTTCTGACGCCGTGCCTCCTCAGCCTAAACCACAAGCCCTAAGCCCTAAGCCCTAAACCCTAAACCCTAAACCCTAAACCCTAAACCCTAAACCCTAAACCCTAAACCCTAAACCCTAAACCCTAAACCCTAAACTCTAGCCCTAAACCCCAAACCCCAAGCCCTAAACCCTAAACCCTTCGGTGGTTGCTTGACCTGGGTTCCCTGAATTCTAGGTTTTGTTGTTGTTCATTATCTCGTGCAGGTGTTCTTTCAAGGACTCATTCAACACAAGGGTTTAGAGTTTAGGGTTTTGGCTTTAGGGTTTTGGGGTGTAGGGTTAGGGTTTAGGGTTTAGGGTTTAGGGTTTAGGGCTTAGGGCTTAGGGTTTAGATACCCCAAACCCATACCTTTTTTGCCCTATAAAAGGAAACCATAAGGAAGGATGCCCCCTGATTCTTTTAGGATTTAGGGTTTAGGGTTTAAGGTTTCAGGGCTAAGGGTTTAGGGGTGTGTTATTTTTTAGATGCTTGAGCACCAGCAGTAAGGAGCTCACCTCAAAGAAGAACCATGACGGAAAGGGCGGACTGTGCAAAAGGTGACCGGTTCATTTCCGGACCCATGTAGGACGACCGTTGCCTGTCCCAAGGAGCGACGACATTGAGCGGATGAAGGGATACTACGCCCACAGCACACTTTGGCAACTTGTCGGGAAAGGATGACTTGGTAGCATTGGGATCCCGCAACCCAAGCCCCAAGCGGTAGCCGCCCTAAAGCCTAAGCGTTCTACCCTAAACCCCTATATAACTCCTAAACCCTGGATATACAGCTGCTGGTGATCGGAATGGAAGCTGTGGAATCCCTCTCCCTCAACCCTACACCTTAGACCCTGGTTTAGGGTTTAGGGTTTAGGGTTTAGGGTTTAGGGTTTGGGGTTTAGGGTTTAGGGTTTAGGGATACCCCCCCCCCCCCCCCCCCCAAAGATGCATGAAGTGGCTGTGTGTGTAAAGCCCTAAGCCCTGCACGCTAAACCTTTGCATCTTGCTGGTAATCCCTAAATGGCACACTGTTTAGGAGTTATCTACACATTCGCCAAGAGCTACCCTAAAACCTAAACCCAAATGTGGGCTTCCGAAATTGTATAGGGGTACCTTATTGGGATCCTTCCTATTATTTCGGTGCTGCATTCGTTCACAGCTGGCCCTTTTGCGGACATGAGCTTCTCGCGGCCCTCATGCCGGCTTGAATGCAAAGTCGTGTCCCCACTTTCAACCCTAAACCCCGAACCCCAAACCCTAAAACCCAAAACCCTAAACCCCTAAACCCCAAACCCTAAACCCGAAACCCTAAACCCTAAACCCCTAAACCCCAAACCCTAAACCCCAAGCCCTACTCCCTGAACCCTTAAACCCTGAACCCTAAGAGGAGCCTTAACATCGCTGCACCTGTCCAGGAACACCGGCTTCAAGAAAGGCCCCTCGCAGTGAGCGCGCCTTGGGAGCGAGCGCCCTTCGGCGCCCCCAGCAAAGCGCGTTGGTCTCAGCCCTAAACCCCAAGCCCTAAACCCCAAACCCCAAACCCCAAACCCCAAACCCTGAACCCTAAACCCTAAACCCTAAACCCCAAACCCTAAACCCTAAACCCTAAACCCTAAACCCCAAACCCTGAACCCTGAACCCGAAACCCAGTGGCTGCCCGCGCCACCACCCTTTGCGGGGTGACCTCAGCTTGCGGAAGAGGCCGGCCACCGAGATCTCAAGGGGGCCTTGCATGCCTAAGCCCCAATTTGGGGTTTAGGGTTTAGGGTTTGGGGTTTAGGGTTTAGGGTTTTGGGGTTTCGGGGTTTAGGGTTTAGAGGTTTCGGGTTTAGAGGTTTTGGTCCCAAATAATTAACCCTAAACCCTAAACCCTAAACCCTAAACCCTAAACCCCTAAACCTCAGCCCTGTAATTCTCTTCGAAGGTCATGCCCTGGGATGTCATTATGATTCATATATCTGCCCTGATGAGGTTTAGGGTTTAGGGTTTAGGGTTTAGGGTTTAGGGTTTAGGGTTGTTTAGGGTTGTTTAAGGTTTAGGGTTGTTTAGGGTTTTGGGTGAGAAAGGGCTTGAAAGGATCATCCTAGACTAGGACGCCCAGCCACACCCCAAAAACCTCTTAGGGCTTAGGGCTTTAAAGGGTTCAGGGCTTGGGGCTTCTGGTTTGGGATCAAGTGAAAGCAGGCCCGTCTAAGTCTAGCACTGGAGCCTAAATCATGACCAACATGATCCCTGTATACTTAGGAAGATCAGCAAGCCAACAAATGCACATCGTAGCTGGATAGCCCCCCCCCCCCCCCCCCAACAAAAAAAAGAAGAATCCCTAAGCCCGAAACCCCAAAACCCTAAACCCCCTAAACCCCAAACCCCAGTAAGCAACATCTAGACATGCGGCCAGTTTAACCGCACCCAACCTGTCGGACCTCTAAACCCTAAACCCTAAACCCTAAACCCTAAACCCTAAACCCTAAACCCTAAACCCTGGCAGAACCGGAATCCGAAGTTGGTGGGCAGCGCAGGACTGTGGTGGATTCTAAGTTCTTCTCCCGGGTTTATAGGGTTCAGGGTTTTAGGGTTAAGCCCTAAACCCTAAGCCCTAAACCCTAAACCCTAAGCCCTAAACCCTAAACCCTAAACCCTAAGCCCTAAGCCCTAAACCCTAAGCCCTAAAAGCCGCATTGAGCCCCGAGAAGAGTGCGGCACCTTGCAGCTTCGGCGGCTCCTCCTCAGCGCTTTTCACTTCCCAGGAAGCAAAGCAAAGGCGCTCCAGCGAAGACGGTGAAAAAACTCGCTGAATCTCCTGGGGTTGATTTGAAACCCTGAACCCTAAACCCTAAACCCTAAACCCTAAACCCTAAATAAACCCTAAACCCTAAACCCTAAACCCTAAACCCTAAACCCTAAACCCTAAACCCTAAACCCTAAACCCTAAACCCTAAACCCTAAACCCTAAACCCTAAACCCTAACCCTAAACCCTAAACCCTACACCCTAAGCCCTAAGCCCTTATAATTTCATGCCGATCAAGCCCTAAGCTTTTCAATTTCTAAAGGGCCCCCAACCCTACTCTAGCCCTAAACCCTAAACCCTAAACCCCAGACCCTAGACCCTAAACCCTCAACCCTAAACCCTAAACCCTAAACCCTAGAACCCTAAACCCTAAACCCTTAAGGGCCTCCATGAAAGCCGCCAGAGCTCTGGCAGGCCCGTCGGGCCTCTTCCTTCGTCCCCCGCAACTCCTACACCCTTGCTTAATTCGAGTTTCGGGTTTCAGGGTTTAGGGTTTAGGGTTTAGGGTTTAGGGCTTTAGTAGGGTTTAGGGTTCAGGTTTTAGGATTTAGCGTTTAGGGTTTCGGGTGTTCTGGGCATGGGAGGGGAGGACACTGAATGTCGCGGTGCCCTAAACCAAAGACTTGCTACAATGAAGGTTCCAGGTATAAGCCCTAGATCCCAAACCCTAAACCCTAAACCCTAGACCCTAAACCCTAAACCCTAAACCCTAGTATAGCACAGAGGCCTGGTGCGGCATGTACGAGATTCTGATCAACACGTCAACGCCTCAAGGGAGGTTTGCCCGGTTGAAGGGGTCAGCATGGTTCGGGGTGTTTAGGGTTTAGGGTTTAGGGTTCAGGGTTTCAGGGTGTGGGGTTAAGGGTTTAGGGTTAAGATTTTGGGTGCTTGACGGTAGGGCTTAGGGTTTAAGGTTTACATAGGGCTTCAAAGGTTTAGCGTGTAGGGGTTATACAGGGTTATGCAGGGCTTTAAGGGTTTTAAGAGTTTAGGATTTTTGGTAGGGCTTTGAGGGTCTTGGGGTTTTGGGATGAGGGGTGAAAGGCATGACTGGGCAGGTGGTCCTCGACTCCCAGACTATCTTGGCTGCACTTAGGAGGGTAGCAAAAAACTAAACTTTTAGCTGCCTCATGAAGAATCCCAATAAACCCAAAAAGGCTAAGGATCTAAAGTTACAGTAAAGCACCACAAAGCTATGCATACACTCCTTTGGGACTTCGGGAGCCGTGGGAGGTTGAGCTAGGTGTCCATGTGGGATGATCGCAGATATGGGGCCTTTCTGGAATCTCTATGGCAGCATTTTCCTAAACTCAGATCCCTAAACCCTAAACCCTAAACCCTAAACCCTAAACCCTAAACTCTGAACCCTAAACCCTAAACCCTAAACCCTAAACCCTAAACCCTAAACCCTAAACCCTAAACCCTAAACCCTAAACCCTAAACCCTAAACCCTAAACCCTAAACCCTAAACCCTAAACCCTAAACCCTAAACCCTAAACCCTAAACCCTAGCGGCACGGGCCTGCAGATGAGATCAGGTTGGGTCACGTACCCCCTCGGGTCGCCCGCGGGCTTTCACTTGCGGGAATCTAATCCCTAAACCCTAAACCCTAAACCCTAAACCCTAAACCCTAAACCCTCAGCCGCAAACGCTAGGCTTGTAAAGTTCCGAGTCGGGTGGACGCCAAAGATGGCATATGCAAACCTCAGGACCTCCTATCCCATACTCATAATTAGGGTCCGCAAGGGCGGGGTTCATATGGGGGTTCAGGGGGTCTAGGGTTCCCCCTTTGAACCCCGTTCTTTCAGAACCCCATAGCATATATTCCGAGTTTAAAGTTAGTAAAGTGTACATGAGTCCTGGGCCAAGAGAAAAGGTCTAGACATCCAGGACATTCTCGCTGTGGCCGTGGCGGAAGGTGGGTTGTCGGAGCAGCTGGCGTTACAGACGCTTGCAGCCACGGAGTTACCCAAGTTAAAGTTCATCGTCCGCGAGCGAGCTCACAGGATGCGAGCATGTCAGCGCAGCACGAGGACGAAAAGCTGAGATGTGCGGCTTGCTGGACATATTCGTGACGGGGGAACACTCCGACGCCCGAATCCTGGAGACATCGCGGAAGCTTGGTTTGTGGTGCGAAGCCAGCCAGGCACCCGAGTCTGACTCAGAGAAGGAAGCCTTAGGGTTAGGATTTAAGGTCTAGGTAGAAGCTATGAAGCCTACATTCGGAAACCCTGTAGGGTTTAGGTTTTCGGGCCTAAGCCCTGCGCGGTTACCATGTCCCTCGTAAGGGAATGAGGGGATCAGGTACCTTATCCGACTTTCCCCTTAGGGGTTTTTAAATCCCTACTCCCCAAACACCCTGGTCCCTTACTAGGAGCCGGGTACAGGGTGTGGGGTTTAGGGTTTAGGGTTCAGAGCTTGACGCACGCTTACGCCAGCACGCAACACCAGCCACACTTAATGCCAGCAGCACTAACCCTAAACCCGAAAACCCTATGCCCTAAGCCCTGGGCCCTAAGCCCTACAAGCCCTAAGCCCTAAGCCCTAAGCCCTGAAGCCTGACTCCTTTAAGACCAGGCCCCAGCATCCGACTGAGCCGGGCAACTACTACCGCGCATCTTGGCTGAGTCTTCTGGCTTCGGATCTGTCTCTACCATCCTAGGTAGGATAAGGGGGACCCTTAAAAGGGAACCCCTTCTTAACCCTCTTCTGGCTCTCTTAAACAGGGACCTTAATGAGAGGGTCTATATCCCCAAGGGGTCCCCCTAATCCTACCCCCTATACTAGGACCGGGAGTAGGCCCTTTTTTCCTTTTTTTGGGGTTGGGGTTCCCTTATAATCCCCTTAAAACCAAAAAGGGTACCCTTTTTATTCCTAGGTTACTCCCGGGTCTAGTCTACAGACCCCTCGGACCCAAAGTAGGGCCTCGGACCCAGGGCTACGAGGACCCAGAGTAGGGCCCCTAGTTTTTTTTGGTTTGGGTTCCCTTAGAAGCCCCTGCAAACCAAAAGGGGCACCCTTTTTGTTTCTAGTTTTCTCTGGGGTCTAAAGTCTTGCGGTTTGTAGGGTTCAGGTTCAAGATTTCTAGGGTTTATTGGATTTTAAAATTTTATTGGGGTTTATATAGACCGTTCAGGTTTAGGGTTTAGGGTTTAGGGTTTAGGGTTTAGGGTTTAGGGTTTAGGGTTTAGGGTTTAGGGTTTAGGGTTTAGGGTTTAGGGTTTAGGGGGCTTACAGGGTTCGGAGCTCGGTGCTTTTGAGGGATGGGGGTTGGGTTTATAGGGTTGGGGTTCAGGGGGTTAGGGCTTTCTGGGTGTAGGGTTGGGGTTCCGGGTTTAGGGTTCAGGGGCGTTAAGGTTAGGGCTCAGGGGCTTAAGGCTTTCTGGGTTTAGGTTAGGGTTTCGGGCTTAGGGGGTTAGGGTTTAGCGTTTAGGGTTTAGGGTTTAGGGTTTAGGGTTTAGGGTTTAGGGTGTGGGGGGTTAGTGTCGAGGGCTTGCGGCTTTCTAATACGGAGCGTTATGCTTGCCAAAGAGGGGCTCTCCAGGGTTTAGGGTCTAGGGTAGAGACGGCTATCCTAGGGCCGTAAGTGTTGCAACCACCCACGAAGCCTACAAACCTAAACCCTACAGGGCTTAGGGTTTAGGGTTTAGGGTTTAGGGTTTAGGGTTTAGGGTTTAGGGTTTAGGGTTTAGGGTTTAGGGTTTAGTACACCCTAGACACCCTTACTTCAACCCCCACACCAAACACACCCGAAAACCCTAGAAACCCCATTCTGACTCTTGCACCCCGAACCTCCTATACCCTGCATACTCGATCGTATGCCTTATCCAATCATATTGCGACCCCGAAAGCCCACAAAGCCCGTCTTGCTGCTGTCATGGGCTTCCCTACGACCCCCGGGTTTAGGGTTTAGGGTTTAGGGTTTAGGGTTTAGGGTTTAGGGTTTAGGGTTTCCCCCCCCCCCCCCTAGGTTCCCCCCCTTAAATAGCCTTTATTAAGGCAGAATTATCCCTCACTAGTCCTTAATTATGGGGGGGAACCTAGGAAGGCGTAGCCCTAAACTCTAAACCCAAGACTAGAACAAAACCCCTAAACCCTGAACCCTAAACCCTTAACCCTACACCCTACACCCTACACCGTAGACCCTAAACCCTATAAACCCTAAACCTTGAACCCTGAACCCTGAACCTGAACCCTGAACCGTGAACCGTGAACCCTAAACCCTAACCCTTAAACTGCAGAGGGGGGGTAGGGAACCCATGATACTGGAAAGGGGCGCCTGGCACTCCTGCCTGGCACGCCAGGGAGCCCAGGTTCAGGGTGCGGGGCTGTGGTTTTCGGGTTTAGGGTTTGGGGTTTCGGGGTTGGGGTTTAGGGTTTAGGGTTTAGTGTTTAGGGTTTAGGGGTTGGGTTTAGGGTTTAGGGTTTAGGGTTTGGGGTTTAGGGTTTAGGGTTTCAGGTTTAGGGAGGTTTCGGGGTTCGGAAGACCCTAAGCCCAAAACCCTCAACTAGGCTTAGGCTTGGGGCTGGAGTTTGGAGAGGTGTTTGGGGCTCCCTAAACCCTAAACCCTAAACCCTAAACCCTAAACCCTAAACCCTAAACCCTAAACCCTAAACCCTAAGCCCTAAACCCTAAACCCTAAACCCTAAACATGAGGGGGCACTGAGGACTTCAGCGTTTTCGAGTTCGAGTTCTCAAGCAGGGTTGACGGTGTACATGTGCCAGAACAGAACCCTGCAACCACCCTTTCCTTATTCCCCAAGTATCTTCTCTTGAGGGCTCTCGGGGTCGAGGTGATATTTAGGGTTTAGAGGCTTAGGGTTTAGGGTTTAGGGTTTAGGGTCCTTGTAGGAGCTGTACGATTTTCTTGAAGCTCCATTGACATGCTACATCTCGTAGTTTCTCAAAATCGGCGTCCTTCTTGTAAGGGCGCCGTACTCTATCGGGGTCCCGAAAAGGGACCCTGGAACCCATTAACATCTAGATACCTGAAACTTGGCAGGTGCTTCTGAGGAGCGTGGAGTGCTAATCAGGGATTGCTCGAAGACCCCGCAGCCGAAGATGCGCGGAAGCCCCCTAAACTTTAAACCCTTAGCCCTGAACCCCAAACCCTAACCTCTAAACCCTTAACCCTGAACCCCAAACCCTAAACCCTAAACCCTAAACCCTAAACCCTAAACCCTAAACCCTAAACCCTAAACCCTAAACCCTAAACCCTAAACCCTAAACCCTAAACCCTAAACCCTAAACCCTAAACCCCAAGCCATGCTGCTAAGGATGATCGTTGATCCTGAGAAGCGCAAGTGGCGGCCCCGGGATGGCGCAAGCTGTGTTTGGGGGGCTCATCTCCGTCATGTGCGTTTAGGGTTTAGGGTTTAGGGTTTAGGGTTTAGGGTTAGGCTTTAGGGTTTAGGGTTTAGGGTTTAGGGTTTGGGTTCAGGGTTCAGGCTTCAGGCTTCAGGGTTTAGAATTGGGGTTTGGGGTCCGGGGCTCAGGCAGGGGTTCAAAGGGTTGATTACCCCAGCTGTGCAACCCCAGCAGCCAGCAAGACACAAAATGCGATCAAAGTTCCGTTCCGTTCCGGCGTTCCGTTCCGAGGGCTCTGGGGTGGCAAATCCCCCCCCTCCCCCCAACCCTCTCCCTAAACCCTAAACCCTAAACCCTAAACCCTAAACCCTAAACCCTAAACCCTAAACCCTAAACCCTAAACCCTAAACCCCTAACCCCTAACCCCTAACCCCTAACCCCTAACCCCTAAACCCTAAACCCTAGAAATAGAAACGCAACCCTTGGGCTGTTAGAGACCGAAGCCGAGAACCTAGGATCCTCATCCCCGTGCGAGAGTGCAGGGTTTGCATGGGTTTGTTCGCGCTGTAGGGCTTCTTGGCATTCTACCTTCTTCGGGCTATATAAAGGTCTTTGTAGGGCTGATTGATAGGTTTGTAGGGTTTTTCGGCTTGTAGCGCATGTAGGTTTATAAGGCTTATATGCGTATAGGGCTTACAGGGTTCCAACTCACCCATGGCAAGTGATTGTATACCACAATTCACGCTAACCTGTAAGCCCTATGCCCTTAGCCCGAAACCCGAAACCCTAAACCCTGAACCCTGAACCTTGCTTTCTTGCTGGGGCTGTTAAAGCCCCTAGAACCTAAACTCGGGTTCAGGGTTTTAGGGTTTAGGGTTTGAGGTTTACGGTTTGGGGTTTAGGGTTTCGGGCTTGGGGTTTGGGGGGCTTTGGAACCTTACTCTGCACCCTGAGCCCGACACCCGCAACCCAGAACCCAGGCGCTCTTTGAATGCCGAGCTTGCCAACGGACGCCTGGCCATGGTCGCCATCTCGCTCATGTGGCTCTTCGCCGGAGCCCCGGGACAGGTTTAGGGTTTCGGGCTAGGGTTTAGGGCTTGGGGCTTACGGTTTAGGGTTTGGGTTTAGGGTTTAGGGTTAAGGGTCACATTGTGGGAACTGACATCAGCGCTTCTACAAAGCAGTACCATCACCAACACCATCGCCATCATTAGTATCACTATCACCTTCACCGTCATCATCATCATCATCATCATCATCATCATCATCATCATCATCATCATCATCATCATCATCAGGTACAGCTTATCTACTTTCCTAAACGAACAGAATGTAGAAGAACCTCCTGCATAGAGTCCTTGGATAGCATTTCGTTCTGGTCGTGGCCTCCTGCAGAAAAGAGGAGACTAGAAAGCTGTTATTTGAACATATTCAATGATTAAAATGGTCGAAATATTTTATATATATACGAGTATTATCAGGTTAAATCAAAATGGAACAAAACTTTAAACGCGAAAACACATTCGGGGGTCCTGCCGTTCTATCAGTGTGACAAGTGAATCTAGAACGGCACACAGCACAAACTCTACTTCCATCAGCCCCCTCTTGTTTTGCTTCAGACGTTCTAATTGCAAGGGAGGGGGGGCTCCATGAGGGGCGCGTAGGGTTTAGGGCTTAGGGGTTAGGGCTTCGGGGTTTAGGGTTTAGGATTTAGCATTAGCTTGTCTTGTGAGGCTTTTTCAGGCTTAGACCCCCTCCCTTAAGGACCTAATAAGAAACACCTGAGCCTGTCGACTTGCAACTTGCAAGTGCACCTTAAGACACGGTTTGTTTTGTGTTTCGGGTCAAGTGTAGGGTTTGGGGCTAGGGTTTAGGGTTTAGGGTTTAGGGTTTAGGTGGTTTAGAGAAGAGGGATTTAGGGTCTAGGGTTCAAAAGATCTACGGGCAGTTCTCTACAGTTCGTCCGCATTGGGGTACCCTAAACATAAATGCCCCACTAGTAGAATGATTGGGTATCTTCACAGGGACTCTCACACATTACATTCTCATCTGGAGCCAGGACAGGCCAAAACAGGGAAAGGATCGAAGACAACCTTAAGCCTTTCTAAACTGCAAAATCCAAAGCCATAAAGACCCTCAACCCCCAACCCTAAACCCAAAACTCTAAACTCTAAACTCCAAAGCCATATAGACCCCAAAGGCTCTGTTTAGACTGGCAAAGAGCGAAGCAGCTCCCTACTGGCTAAGCGTTTCCGGGCTTGTGGCATTGCAGTTCGGAGTTTGAGTCGTGGAGTTTAGGTCTTGGGGTTTACAGGGCTTAAGGCCTAGGCCGACCCTAAACCCAAACCCTACACCCTAAACCCAAGACCCCAGACCTGTTTGGGCGTTTGGGGTTTATACGGCTTTGGTCTGTGGGGCCTGTGGCCCTAGGCCTCAAGCCCTCAGTTCTAAATTCCCAAAGCAGACAACTTCAAGGCCAAACCCCGCAGCACTGCATCCTGAAACCTAAACCCTAAACCTTAAACCCTAAACCCCTACACCCCTAAACCCCTAAACCCTCAACCCCTACAACCCTAAACCCAAAACCGCTACAACCCTAAACCCTAAGCCCCTAAACCATAAACTTTTGGGGTTAGGGTTTAGGACCGAAAACTCAGCCTGAGGACGGCCTCACGGGGCAAGCCTGGGGCGAGTGGAAGGGGCCTCCCACTGCGTAGATGGCAGCTTCTCAAGCAGATTCTATAGAAGACTGTTTCTAGGGTTTAGGGTTTAGGGTTTAGGGTTTAGGGTTTAGGGTCAGGGTTTAGGGTTGAGGGAGCAGATTCCACAGAAGACTGGAGTAGGCCCTTGTTCCCTCTGTTGGAAGGTTCAGGTTTCCTTATGAGTCCCTGTAAGCCCAGTGTAGAGAGTTCTTAAGGGAGGGGGGTTCAAGGGGGCTATGCAACCCAAGGCTCCCTAATACCACCCACTACTTTGTAGTGCGCCCGAAGCTTCCCGAAGGTTCCCTGGGTACCTACCCCCATGAACCCGCCTCCCTGAAGGACCCTATTGTAAAATCCTAGACATAAAGTTCTAACTAACATTGGGATGTTCCCCCTTACTAACAGTCCTTATTCGGGATCATAACCGGTAACACTAATTCTATTCCTAGATTGCTTTTGGGTCTATGCTTTCTCTTGGCCAGCACAACGCTTGAGAGGCTTGAGCTGGGGTTAGGATGAAGGAAGATCGCGGTTTCGGTTCTTGGGGTTTAGGGTTTAGGGTTTAGGGTTCAGGGTTCAGGGTTCAGGGTTCAGGGTTCAGGGTTCAGTGTTTAGGGTTTAGGTTTAGGGTTTAGGGTGGCTGTCTCGGGGGTGGCGAGGAACTTTTGGTTGGTGTATCTGACTCTTGTGGAGCATAAGGTCCGGCAGCACACAAACTGAGTGGGGGGGGGGGGGGGGGTTCTTGGGGTAGTTACATGGTCCCTGAGTTTGGGCCCTTAAAGGGGGACCCGTTCTGGACCCCTAACATACCCTCTAGAACCCCAAAGGGCCCCTACTTCAGAACCCTTTAAAGGAGGTAAGGGACCATATTAGGGGCCCACATAGCCACCCTTTTAGGGTTGGAGGCTCAATGTAGGGTGCAGGGGCACGTGGTCTATAGCTGGGCCTTCCGAGACAGCTACTTTTTTTTGAAGAGCATTGTCTTCCCATAAACCCTAAACCCTAAACCCTGCTTTTGCATGTCGGTCTTATTGATATAAGAAGCCCCAAACCCTAAACGCTATCACCATTCTAGGGATGAAGTCAGGACTTCGAGAGATAAAGTTACCGGAGCGTTGAGGGCTCTTGAGCTTGAGAAAGGCGCCGCCATGGCTATGAGCAAAGACTCATTATAGGTCTCAGGACATGTTTCGGTTTCGGGTTTCGGGCGTAGGGTGCAGGCCGGCCAAGTGGGCAGATGTCAAAACAAGCTTCCGTCCATTTTGGCTGCGAGTACTTTGTGGTGCTTTACTGTAGCTTTAGATCCTTAGCCTTTTTGGGGTTTATCGGGTGCCTTGCCGGTGGGAGTAGGCATGACCCTTACTCGGAGCCCTGGGAGGTTCAACTGTAGAACCTAAACCCTAAGCCCTAAGCCCTAAGCCCTACGCCCTAAACCCTAAACCCTAAACCCTAAACCCTAAACCCTAAACCCTAAACCCTAAACCCTAAACCCTAAACCCTAAACCCTAAACCCTAAACCTACTACTGTTGGGTCATGCCTAGGCGCCCTCAAAAACTCGACTTTTTAGATCCTCCCAGGGGTCTGGGTAGGCACACCTAACCTATCTAGATGGTGCCTAAACCTTTGGATGTTCCCCCTTATACTAACAGTCCTTAATGGGCATGCAAAAGGAGGGGGTACTAGAATCCCTATTAAGGACTGTTAGTGCAAGGGAAAACATCCCAGCCTAAACCCTAAACCCAAAGCCCTAAACCCCAAACCTGGGATGAAGCAGAAAAGCCAGACGCCAATAAGGTTCTTTCATAAGGGGCTATTTAACTTGAATGGGTTTAGGGTTTAGAGTTTCGGTTGGGCATTTGGGGTAGTGCATTGTGACGATAGGGGTTGGGGTTTGAGGTTTAGGGTTTACGGTTTAGGGTTTAGGGGATTGCAAGGCAATTGTGTTGGTAGGTATCTAGGCTCCTGTATTTCTGTGGCGAAGCTTTCCTCCTGGCCTAAGCCCGAAACCCTAAACCCTAAACCCTAAGGTTTAGGTCTATGGTTTTAGGGTTTGTGGGCTTTTTGTATGTGGTTCACAAGGATTTGTCACTTCCTTCAGAGAGTAGCATAGGGCAGATGATCCTCGGGTACCGCGTGTTATCGGTTAAGCTACGGGTTTAGGGTTTTGGGTTTTGGCTTTTGGGGTTGGGGGTTTGGGGTTTGGGGTTTGGGGTTTGGGGGTTTGTTGTTTAGGGTTACGGGCTGAGCTTTCATCATCAGTGCGAGATGCGTGCCGCGGTTCTGACAGCTGGCAAAAAAGTACTGGGGCCCATGAGGTCACGCCACAAGAAACGCTGCAGCATGTAGCATTTCATGGTCTAATCTTCAAAGCAGGCTGGCCCCAAACTCCTGCGCAAAAGAGCCCGGTAGAGCTCGTATGTCACTTGCAGCTTGCTCGAGCCTAAACGACTAAACGACTTTCGGTTTGGGGTTATTGACCACCAGCTTGGCAGCCTTAAGTCCGCAACCCCCGGCTCCTCAATGCCAGGAGCCCATCCTAACCGAAAACCCTAAACCCTAAATCCCCGAAGGTCCCAAGATGGAGAGCCAAAAGCCCGAAAGACCCCAAGACCCTGAACCCCAAGCCCTTAAACCCGAAACCCTGCGTAGGATGACTATCTTTTTACAGGCTAAACCCTAAACCCTAAAACCGAAACCCTGAACTCGAAACCCTAAACCCGAAACCTAAACGCTAAGCGCTAAAACTAAAGGCCATTGTAACCACCCTCTTGGAGGGGAGGCCATGTGAAGCAGGGTATATATTATACTGTTTTTGGTGAGTGTATATAAGGTTCCTTTTTATTTTGGTGAGTGTATATGCCTGGTGTCCTTTTGGGGGTACAAGAGATATATACCGCACTTCATGTAAGGGCTGACACCCTTTGCACCGAGCTTCCGTCGTGGCGATGCCGCCGGTCACTGCCCTCTGGGTGAAGGAGGGTGCCAGGAACCTCGTGGGGGCTTGGGGTTTAAGGGTTAAGGGTTAAGGCTTTAGGGTTTAGGGTTTAGGGTAATATAGGGATTACCATTGTTTATTCTGTTGGGGTTCTTAAGCAAATAGTAGCTTGGGGTTTCTGGGTTTCAGGGTTTAGGGCGTGAGGGCTCAGGGTTTAAGGGTTAGGAGTTTCCGGGCCTTAGGGGTTTAGGGTTTGTAGGGCTTGGGGGCTTGAGGGGGTTTCGGGGCTTTGGGGGCTTTAGGGGCTTTAGGGTTCAGAGACTCTAGGAGGTTTTGCAACTTTAGGGGGTTTAGGGGCTCAGGGGCTTTGGGGGCTTTGGGGGATTTTGGTGGTTTTTGAGGCTTTTAGGGTTTTGGGGCTGCAGTGGTCTTAGGATTTTTTTGGGGCTTTATATTGGGGGTCCCCTGTTCTCGTAAACCCCCCCCCCCCCCCCAAATCTCTACAGAAAGCAGGAACATCGGAAACCCAAACTGCCCCGACACCCTGCATGGACCCGAAGCCCAAACTTACAAAACAACGCGTTGTGCCCACTGCGCTTTCCAGCAGAAGTGCCGGGGACTTAAACGTTTAAGGTATCACGCAAAGGACATCTTAAAATCCGTATTCAGAGCAAGAAAGGTACCATCTCTATTCCCAGGCCACTGGAAAAGCCTTGTCGCATCTAGAATGCCCAAAGCCAACCCTACCTAGAGACCAGGTAACCGAGTAGGGCTCGTCGGGCCCTGAATGGTAGGTACTTCGGGAAGAACAACCAGGATTTGTGAGGGGTTAGGGTTTAGAGTGATGCAGTCATGCCCTTAGTCCTCAAGAGGTAGTTGACGTAGTTGGGGGGTCGGGAGGGTTTCTGGCGGTCTCCCGCAAAACCCGAAATCCTAAGCCCTAAGCCCGAAGCCCTGAAATCTAAACCCTAAACCCTAAACCCTAAACCCTAAACCCTAAACCCTAAACCCTAAACCCTAAGCCCTAAACCCTAAACCCTAAACCCGAAACCCGAAACCCGAACTCTAAACCCTAAACCCTAAACCCCCGAACCCCCACAGAATCTCCATGGCCAAGGTCGCGGCTCTGGCGGTGTTCAACGATGGAAGCTGCGTCGGCCCTGGGGCTTCGCCTTAGTCTAGGATGCCCAGTAGCGCCCCCATTCGCTTTTTTTTTTTTTTTTTTTGGGGGGGGGGTTTAGGGTTTAGGGTTGGGGGTTTAGGGTTTAGGGTTTACGGTTTAGGGTTTAGGGCTACGAGGATCCCAGTGGTACCCCTGTCTCTTTGCCTTGTTGAGGGGGGTTTCGGTTTCGTTACAAACCTCTTTAAGCAAAGAAGGGCACCCTTTCTCATCCTAGGTTACTGCAAACCCTTAACCTGTATCCTAAATGCTGAACCTTACTTGTATATTTACCCCAGGCCGTGAGCCTTAAACCCTAAACTCTAAACCCTAAGCCCTAAGCCCTAAGCCCTAAACCCCATAAACCCTCAACCCTAAACCGTGCCCTACTCGGACTCTGCAGGGTTTGAGGAACCCACGAGCTGTCTACTTGGAGGTTCATGGCACTTCTTAACGAATTCTAACTATAACTGTACTTATGACGGTTTAGGGTTTAGGGTTTCGGGTTTAGGGCTTAGGGCCCCCCCCCCCCCCCCCCCACTAGGTCCTCGTTCTCAGTCGGATCCATACAAACAAGGGTAAGGGACCATACATACTAGGGGCCCATGGTTCAAACCTTAGATGTAGGAAACCCTAAACCCTAAACCCTAAACCCTAAACCCTAAACCCTAAACCCTAAACCCTAAACCCTAAACCCTAAACCCTAAACCCTAAACCCATTTCGGGGTGCAGCGAGGGGTGGGGTGTGGTGCTTACTTGAAGGCCAACTTCGCCCCGGGAAGTCGTAGGTCACACTCTCTTGGTACGCGTACACTTGGGAATCTAGGAAGCCTCGTAGGGTTTAGGGTTTAGGGTTCAGGGTTTAGGGTTCAGGGTTCAGGGTTCAGGCTTTAGGGTTTAGGGTTTAGGGTTTAGGGTTTAGGGTTTAGGGTTTAGGGTTTTAGGGTTTTAGGGTTTTAGGGTTTAGGGTTTAGGGTTTAGGGCCTTGTGGGATCGGGCTTGAGGGTTTAATTCTTAATTCGGGTTGATCTGGAAACAACGGGCCACAAGGTGAGGACCTCTTCCGCCATGGGAAGAACCTGTGCAAGGACCCTGGGCCGCTACAGCCCTAAACCCTAAACCCTAAACAATGCAGGTTCATGGTACTTGTTAACCAATTGCAACGGTTCTTATAGCTGTACTCGGCCTGGTACTCTGCAGGGCTTTTGTTGTTTTGCGCCGCCCTCAGAAGTAGGAACGCGCCCAATGTACCTTTCACCCTGAATCTGGTTTAGCACATGTTGACGCTCCTTCTCTGTCTATAGCTGTGCTTATAACCATCTTAGGGCACTTAAGGGGCTTATAAGTGGGTTATAAGTACAGTTAAACTTGGCTACTAAGTGCCATGAACCTCCAAGTACAAGTAGGGCCTTGTCCTTGTGAGATCGCGTGCTTCGAATTATCCCATATCTAAGTTTGCGAACTTCTAAGTCAACTACACCCAAGTTATCACAGAGGTGTCTTGAGCAGAAAACCAGCCGTACTTATTAAAGAAAAACTTCGTAGCGACTTTTGCATGTTTTGTCAGCCACCGTTTTCTGTTTCGCATCTCCATGACCTTTCAACTCAAAAAGCTCCCGGAACCCACCTGCCTTCTGCGGCTCGACACCAAAAATGAAGGAAACACACACACACACACCCTAAACCCTAAACCCTAAACCCTAACCCCTAAAGGCCCTAAACCCAAAACCCTACATATCGATTGCTGCACGGGCGAGCCAAAGTTTGCGAAAGTGTCGAGACTTGAGCCGACTCTGCAAAAAGAAAGGGGAATTCTTGAATTTACTCTTTTGCACCGACTGGGGTCTAGGGTTTAGGGTTTAGGGTTTAGGGTTTATATCTTCTTATGAACTATCCATGCCGCGCATCGCGCACATTCTGCGCACTTTCCACTTTCGAGGGTGTCACATGCCCGCGCACGTACGCGCACATCTCGTTTCCGCAGTTGTTCAAGGCCGCGCGCATGATGTTTCATCATATTTACATTGCGCACACATTCATTGCTGGCCCGAATCCTCCTTCCGCACATGTCCGGCGCACATTCGCACACATTTCGTGCACATGCCATTTCGGACAGCCGTCTTGCCCTGCGCACATCCACGCACATTTTGGCGCACATCTATGGGTGGCGATTTTTTCGCGAACGCAAGGCGCAGGCGACAATTTTTTCTTCCAAATTCTGTAAAGGGTTTTATCAGTGCATATGACAGCGGCGCGACCGCCAAGCTGAAAGCTGCGGAGTCCCGCAGACCGTCAAGCTGACAGCTGCGGAGCACTCGCAGTGCATGGACATCTGCGCCCTTCGCCCCCTAACAAAAACCAGAGAAACGACTTCAGATTTATGTCTGCCGTTGTCATGCTTGCCCATGTTTCAAAGCAACCCTCAGTCAAATACTGTTTCTAGTTTCTCTGTTTTTTATTTCGAAATAGGTTCTCGGTAAAACATTGGTGTCTCATAGGTCGTTTCATATAGATGTTGGCACTTATAAATAAGTCATCAGTGAGCCTAAAACATATTATATACTCCGTTATGACATGTGGACAAGGATGATGAACTTATCAAAGATAGAACAGAAGATAGCCCAAGTCGCAGCATGAGTTGACCCAACTTCATAACACGTCCATATTCACGCGGCCCTACTTGTATACCCTAAACCCTATGCTGGGTTGTCCCGGCATGCCCTGGGCGTTAGAGCTTTCAGGACCCCCTGCAAACGATGAAACCCTTGAAAGGGGCTCCTACCTCGTTGTCATTTCATGCTCGAGAAGCCTGGTGCTAAGGCCCTGCAGGCTGCGCCCCCTAACATGTCATCTTTGGTGGAGGATAGGCAGGGCCTTCTTCGACTGGAAAGCGTTCCCCCGCCCCCAAACCCCCCAACTTCCCCCCCCCCCCCCAAACCCCACCCCAAACCCCCCCCCCCAAACCAACCCCCCCCCCCCCCCCCAAACCCCCCCCCCCCCTGACAGGCGCCTGTCGCGGCTGTCATGGAAGGGGCGGGTCAAAAGTCGAAGAGTCCAAACGTCCAAAGTTTTAAAGTCCAAAAGTCTGATGGTAGTGGTGAGGGAAAATACTACAAAAAAGATGATAACTCAATGAACTGAATTATTAAAGCCTTTTGGGTTCTGTTCATGATCATATGTTTAACTAGATTTTGTATATTCGTGATTTTAGATGTAATAGTTAAAGAAGATTCCTCACGATATTTAACAATGAGATGTTAGACCTGAAGGGTCCATCAACCAGGTCTCCTTTAGACAGAGTATTTTTCAAAGCGTGATATGTGACATGCAATTCAGTTTGTCAACTTGTGACATATGACACACAGTTCAGAACCATTCAAGATACGCTTAAGACGCTGTTGGTTTTAAAGTTGCTTTGGGGTGGGGGTGACTACTGGGGGTGGGAGGGGCGGGGGGGGTGGGGGAGGGGGGGGGAGGGGGGGGGGAGGGGGGGGAGGGGGGGGGAGGGGGGGGGGGGCGGGGGGGAGGGGGGGGAGGGGGGAGGGGGGGAGGGGGGGGGGGAGGGGGGGGGGGGGGGGGGGGGGGGGGGGGGGGGGAGGGGGGGGGCGGGGGGGGGAGGGGGGGGGGGGGAGGGGGGGGGGGGGGGGGGGGAGGGGAGGGGGGGGGAGGGGGGGGGGGGGGGGGGGAGGGGGGGGGGAGGGGGAGGGGGGGGGATGGGGGGGGGGGGGGGGGGAGGGGGGGGGAGGGGGGGGGAGGGGGGGGGAGGGGGGAGGGGGGGGGGAGAGGGGGGGGGAGGGGGGGGGAGGGGGGGGGGGGAGGGGGGGGGAGGGGGGGGGGGGAGGGGGGAGGGAGGAGGGAGGAGGGAGGGGGGGGGAGGGGGGAGAGGGGGGGGGGGAGGGAGGGGGGGGGGAGGGGAGGGGGGGGGAGGGAGGGGGGGTGGCCATCTATTTCTATTTATCTGTCTATCCATCTGTCGGTCTGTCTGTCTGTCTGTCTACATATATAAATACATGTATTTATTTGTTTTCTTTTTTTACACAGATAGGGTTTGAGAAGGGGGTGGCGATGATGGCGATTACGTACGAGTCACACTTTGTACAGGACATGCTGGGCGACATCGTTGAGAACGATGGAGGAGAATATACCACCACTCCCCTGTGTCTCGGCGATGGTTTAGGGTTTGGGGTTTGGGGTTTGGGGTTTAGGGTTTCGCTGCAAATGCTTGTGTAAAGCGGCGGAGCTCAAGAGTTTGACGTTTGAGGCCCCCGACCCGACTGCCCAAGAAGCAGAGAAGGTCCTCCAAGCCTGCGACGATAGGTCAAAGGCCCTAACCATACAACCACAGGTTCAGGGAGCACCGGAGTGGGGTTGTTAGATTCTAAACTACACTAATCTCCTCGCCCAATCTACACCTCGTCCATCACCCACATCCCACCAAAGAGTATACCCAGAGTGTCCCCCAGAGCGCCCAACCCCAGACTATCCCCAGAGAGTCCCTGCAGTGCCCATCCCCGAGCGTCTCCCCAACCCCAGAGCAAGCCCCTATGCCCGCGCCCGCATCAGCTGTTGCAAGAAGTGCTCCCTGTGTTTCGTCCAGGTTTGAAGGCACCCAAAAACCTACCACCCTGAACTTGAAGGTCTTTAGGGTGTAGGTCCCTAAGCCCTCAACCCTAAACCCGAAACCCTAAACCCTAAACCCTAAACCCTAAACCCCAAACCCCAAACCCCCAAACCCTTCCATAGCACCGCCTAGGCTGCAGAAGTCTCTGGAAGCGGAGGTCGAACCCTTCTGTTCGGCGGCTTGGCTAGCCCGACATATGGTCACTTCTCGAAAGTTGAGGTCCCTTTCGGGGTACCCTAAACCCTAAACCCTAAACCCTAAACCCTAAACCCTAAACCCTAAACCCTAAACCCTAACCCTAAACCCTAAACCCTAAACCCGAAATAAGGGGGCCGCCTTATAATCAGGACCCCGAGCAGAAATTTAGAGAAACCACCGGTTTAGGGTTTCGGATTTAGGGCTTAGGGCTTGGGGTTTAGGGCTTAGGGTTTGGGGTTTAGGGTTTAGGGTTTATGGGCCTCAGGAACCTGCATCCTTGCAGGGGTTTAGGGTTTAGGGTTTCTTTGTCATAGTTGCGTAACATTTTACATGTTTAAGGTTACTTAAACCCAATAAGGAATGTGGAATTTAATTTTTAATATTATCCCAACCATGAACTAGGTTTAGGGTTTAGGGTTGAGGGTTCGGGGTGTTCTGGGGTCTAAATTGTGAAGAAACTTTAGTTAAGCTTCCAGAATATGAGTTCGTGAAACCCATTCCTGCGTCCCTCAATAGACGTTCCCCTGCATGAAACCCAGACTCAGGCTCAGGGCTTTTACAGTAGGTTTAGGGTTTAGGGTTTAGGGTCCTGAGGAATCTCCATCGGCAATTGAGTTCCAGGTAGGCCCTTGGGACATGTTGTGCCTGGGTTCAAGAGGATCCTAAGCCCTAAGCCCTAAACCCTAAGCCCTAAACCCTAAACCCTAAACCCTAAACCCTAACCCTGCATTTTTCAGCTGGTTTTTGTCGGTCATAGGGTTTTCGTGGTTGAGCCTATGATCTCAGACTCTGAACTCTGCAGCCATCAAAAAAAAACGGCCTGAACCCTAAACGCCAAGCCCTAAACCCCAACACCTACAGGGCTCTTGAAAGCCTGCCTCTTCTGAGGCGCACTGCTGCGTGGTGTCTGGAAATGATGTGCACCACGGACATTTATGAGACATGCATCTGCCGGTTTGGGGTTTGTATGTGCTGGGGTTTGGAGTGTCACTAACTCCCAACCCGTTTTGTCAGGATTGGCTTTGACAAGAAAGTGCCTGACGACATGTTTCTCAGCAACAGCTCAAGAATGTGCATGCTGTGGTAGCGTAGGTCTTCTTAGCATGCCGCTGAACCCCCCGAAGCGAATCTCATGTCCCTGCGCACACCCCACCCCTGCCCACCCCACGCCCTGCAGCTCCCAAACCTTAACCCTAAACCCAACACCCACAGTCCTGAATCTTGAACCCTGAGCTGTAATCGAATACCAGTATGGCAACTTCCTAAATAAGCACGCTAAACCCGACAAGCTTTTGTCTTTTTTCGCCAAGCAGTCCGGCCCGGGATGAGGGGGCTTGGGGTGTCTTCCAGGCTGCAAAAAGCACAATTTAGGGTTCGGGGTTTAGGGTTTAGGGTTTAGGGTTAGGGTTTAGGGTTTAGGGTTTAGGGCTTAGGGTTCGGAATTTCGGGTTTAGGGTAGCGGTTTCAGGTTGTGGGGGGTTAGCCACTGAAGAGCAACACCCTTGGAAGCCTCCCCTAAAAGATTTCAGGTCTATGGGTGGGAGGGTTTGGGGTCGGGTTGGATTTGAGGCTTAGATTTAGGCTGTAGGATTCTAAGCTTAATCTTTCGGATCTCGCTTCCGGCATAGCTTTTAGGTATGGCGTCGGTGCGGCTTCCAACAAGAAGCAGCGGACGCGTGCAGCCCCTCGCCCGCAAAAGGGTTTAGAGTTTAGGTTTTCTGCAGAACCTACTACTAGTTCATACCCTAAACCATAAATGATTTAAAAATCCCCCCAAAAAAACATCCACGCTTTCTGTCGTTCTGATAATAGAGGGTTTCAAGGGGGGCAGGTACCGAGGGAACAGTAGGGAACAGTAGGGAAGCTTAGGGAGCCAACCCTAAACCCTAAACCCTCAACCCTAAACCCTAAACCCTAAACCCTAAACCCTAAACCCTAAGAGCAGGTCTCGGCTTCATACATGTTGTAGCTAGCTGGGTCTGGCAGTCTTCTGCGTGTTGGCTGCCGAGTCATGAGGAGACTAGACGGGTTTAGGGGTTAGGGTTTAGGGTTTAGGGATTAGGGTTTAGGGTGAGGGCTTAGGGGGGGGGGGGCATTCTCGGCAGTTTGTAAGACGCCAATGTAGCATGTTATCCATGTGAATGTTGTGAATGTACAAGTCGCTGGCAACTTTCATCACATCGATTTCGGTCCGCATTTCTCGAAATACCTTTGCTAATTGAATGGGCCCGTCGACCCTAAACCCTACTGGCAAGCCTTCATCGTTTCGGGTTTCGTTAGCCTGCTGAGGCCTACGTCGCAGCTGCAGTCCATGAAATGGCTCGGAAGTGGCAGTCTTACCCTTAGCTCACCCGAATTCAGGGTCCGTTTTCCTTTCTGGGAAATACTTGGTCCATAAAGGGGTTTCTGTCTGCTGCCCCAAGATGGAGCCAATGTGGCCATCGAGCTGGCCAAACATGGCACCCATGCCAGCCCAAGCTATATAACCCAATTACTTCCCCAAACCCTAAACCCGAACCCTAACCCCGAAACCCCCCTAAACCCCCCTAAACCCCCCCTAAACCCTATCCCTTTGTGTTGAGGTTCTGGGTCGGCGACCTGAACGTGATATGGGTTCTGGGTTTAGGTCGAAGCCTGGCGGGCAGGGCTCAGGGCTTAGGACTTCGGGTTCTGTTTATCATTTTGCCTCAAGCAGCGGCAGCAGATGTTGTTCACACTACCAAAGTATGTTTTGGAAAGGGTCCGAACTCAGGAAGATCAGTCCATTTGACACTGCAGATTGTCCCATACCCAGGGGTATTATTTTGCCTTTACTTCTATTTTTTATGTTCTAAGCCATCAAATTGTATCTTTACAGGGCCCTAAACCCTAAACCCTAAACCCCAAACCCCAAACCCTAAACCCTAAACCCTAAACCCTAAACCCTAAACCCTAAACCCTAAACCCCAAACCCTAAACCCTAAACCCTAAACCCTAAACCCTACCTACCCCAGCATTGGGTTCATGACCATAGTCGGGCGGAAAAGGCGGGACCGGAGTGAGGGTTGGGGGGGGGGGGGGGGGCAGCTCCGAAGAGGCACAGAAGTGTATATTTGGGGGCCCATACGTAAACCCTAAACCCTAAACCCTAAACCCTAAACCCGGAGCCTGAATAAGAGTCTAAGCCCAGAAGCAGTAGGGAACCTTTATGGATTCTGAACTACTACTGAAGAGTGCCCTTCCTGACTGCTGTCCCTTACAGGTGGCCACCCTTGCCTTGGGCGTAAGATGCAAGACAAGTCAACAGAATTCGGGCTTAGGGTTTCTAGCTTACTTGGAGGTTCAGGGTACTTTTATCCCCGGTTCTAACTGTACTGTCCCCTAAGTAGGTTACAAGTAGACTTATGTAATTGGGGGTTCCTCCCAGTAGGGTCTATGATGCCCCTGAGGCCCTCCAATGTGGAGCACGAGCTGCTCAGGAGAGGATGGCAGTGGGAAGATCAGCCACTTGGCAGGCTTAGGTACGCGGGGGGAGCAGCCCCCCGCAGCCCCCCAGAAGCATTGCTCCGGAATTCTCAGCCCTGATTCTTCGGAAAGCCCCCCACCCCCCCCCTAAAGGAGAGCTTTATATGAGTGACTCAGATGGGCCCTGAACGAAACTGCCACTTATGTACTGAGAGGAGCGAGTAAGAACCCTAAACCCTAAACCCCAACCCTAAACCTTTAGGATCCCTGATTGGGACCCTACTTGGAGGTTCATGGTACTCATTAACCAATTCTGACTGTACTTATAACTGTACTTATTAGAACCATATTAGGGCACTTAAGGGGATTTTTCGTGGGTTCTAAGTACAGTGGTTCTAAGTACAGTTACAATTGGTTCACAAGTACCATGAACTTCAAAGTCCCTCCTCGGGGAATATAGGTACTCGACACCGGGCCTCATATAGGAGTTGATCCGAACTAAGGTCCCTTTTGGTGTAACTACTATGAGTATGGTTGTTATCACTATCGTGATATGATTGTCTGCTGTTCTCATGGTCCTGATGGTTATTGTGTTCTTCTGATTACGCCTAAGCCCTAGAGACCCCTAAACTTTGCGCCTAAACCCTTGGGTCTTATAGTTTAGGGCTTTAGGGGTACTCGGACAATCGAAAGCACCCTAGCCCCGAGAACCCCCTAAACCCTAAACCCTAAACCCTAAGCCCTAAGCCCTAAGCCCTAAACCCTAAGCCCTAAGCCCTAAACCCTAAACCCTAAACCCTAAACGCGAACCCTATCTGGGCACACCTTTCAAGAATCCTCAAGCTGAAAGACAATAGCCTGCAGAGACAAGTCCTGTGCCCTGAATCCCTCAGACCCCTAGAGAAGATGTAGAGGGTTTAGGGTTGAGGGTTCGCAAAATCCTTGAAGTTCAGGTTCTAGCTTAAGGCTTTGGGGATCTTGTGGTAAGGGTGTAGGGGACCCCGGTGAGGTCCTGCATCCCACCAAAAAAACCAAATTTAGCTTTGTGGTGCTTTACTGTAACTTTAGATCCTTAGCCTTTTTGGGTTTATTGGGTTTCTTCATAAAGGCATCTAAAAATTTATTTTTTTAGCCTACCCTCTTAAGTAGAGCCAAGTTAGGCTTCATGGTGGAGGCTGCTGTAGATGCTGGTCTGCTAAACCCTAAACCCTAAACCCTAAACCTAAACCCTCAACCCTCAACCTACCCGGAGAGAGGCCTGGATGTCGATTCAACCCCGAGATCATAGGCTTCCCTACTACCCCCCTCTATACTACCCCCCCGTAGGTTCCCCCCTTCAATAAGCGTAATTCGGGCTTAATTAACCGAGGAGGGGGCTCGTAGGGGAACCCATGACCTGAGCACTCAACCCCTATGAACCCTGCAATTGCTTGCCCTTTGCTCACTAGGGTCTAGGGTTTAGGGTTTAGGGCAGGCACGCTGTTTTGAACGGGAGGTTGAGCCTCGGCGTGGCTTGAGCATGAGGGTTTAGGGTTTGCAGGGTTTGGAACCCTAAACCCTAAACCCTACGCCCTAAACCCTAAACCCTAAACCCTAAACCCTTTTCCCTAAACCCTAGGGTTTCGGGTTTAGGGTCTGTAGCGTTGGATGTGGCAGCAGGATCATGGTGTCACTGACGAAGCTCGTCGCGGAGGCTCTTCCGGAAGAAGCCTTGGTTCTCCTGGACTGGGTTTTAGGTTTTAGGGTTTAGGGTTTAGGGTTTAGGGTTTAGGGTTCAAGGTTCAGGGTTTAGGGTTTAGGGTTTAGGGTTCAAGGTTCAGGGTTTAGGGTTTAGGGTGCTTGGAGTACTATACTTCAATTACTTCTTTGGGTTTTGGGTAGAGCTACTCATACCCAAAAGGTATATACTTTTTTCCAGGGTCTACTCCAAAGTAGGGTGATGCTCCTTGAAGTTTTTAGGACGTGTTCGGGGTACCTATAAGCCTTTCAAAGGCGATGAACACTTCGAAGCCCTCTAAACCTGAGATGGGCAGTTCTCTAAATTAGGGTCTCTTTTTGGGATCCCTTTTTAAAATAGGGTCTCTTTTTGGGATCCCTTTTTAAAATAGGGTCTCTTTTTGTGAGATCCCTTTTTTAAAGGGTGCCGCCACAAAAATGGGTACCCAAAAAGGGAACCAAATTTTCCAGAACTGCCCATATCCCTATCAAACCCCAGAAGCTCGACAAGGTTCTGAAGAACATTAATCCTAGGTAGGATAAGGGGGACCCTTAAAAGGGAACCCCTTCTTTACCCTCTTTTGGCTCTCTTAAACAGGGACCTTATTCAGAGGGTCTATATCCCCAAGAGTCCCCCCAATCCTATCCCCTATAGTTAAAGAACCACGAGCCACCTGCTGCGAGTTTCGGGAGGGCTTCAGCTTGTGGAAAGCTCTAAGGCGCCAAGGGTTTAGGGTTTCGGGTTGAGGGTTTTGGGTTTTGGGTTTGGGGTTTAGGTTTTTTTCTCTCCCCGCCCCGGCCCCAAACACTCGTAACATAGGGCTCGCGTTGGAGGTGAAGCACAGCAGGCGGCAAGACGTTGAGAAAACGCGTTTCAACATGCGCTCTCGAAATTAAAAACGACTTTGCTGAGAAATGATTAGGGTTTAGGGTTTAGGGTTTAGGGTTTAGGGTTTAGGGTTGTCAGGACCACCTTGGACAAGTTGCGCATCAGGATCGAGAGCGTGCCGTCGCAAGGGGCCCTCTTTCCGTACAACGTGCTCTCCAACTGCGGCATACCCTAAACCCTAAACCCTAAACCCTAAACCTTAAACCCTAAACCCTAAACCCTAAACCCATAAGCAGATTCTAAAGGGCAAGGGCCGACTGTGCAGCGATCCTGCGTTTCAAGGTTGCCTTGGAGCCGTCGACCTTCGAGGAGAAGACGTTGTGGAATCTGATGCTCCAGAAGTTCAATGTCTGCTAGTATGCTAGGGTTCAGGGTTTAGGGTTGCAGCAGGGCTTCCAAAAACGAATCCTTTTGCGAGTTGGGGCGCGGAGTGCCTGGAACCCTAAACCCAAAACCCTAAACCCTAAACCCTAAACCCTAAACCCTAAACCCTGGAAAAGCCCAAGCCAAGTCGAGCCAAAACCGAGACATTCCAAGAAGACGATCCTCGAACAAAATAAGGCAACCGTAAAACCCTAAACCCTAAACCCTAAGCCTTGAACCCTAAACCCTAAACCCTGAAGGCCGTCGAATGCCTGAATGACTTGAGGAAGGCCCCCGCGCCGTGACCTTCCCTTCCGTTGCCCCAAGGGTCCATGTACCCCGACTAGGGGGAGTCTAGGGTTTAGGGTTCAGGGTTTAGGGTTTCGGTTTAGGGTTTCGGGTTTCGGGTTTAGGGTTTAGGGTTTAGGGTTTATATAGGGTTTATATAGGGTTTAGGGTTGAGGGTTTGGAACTGAGGAAGAAGGCTCGAGGGGTTCGGATCGCGAGCCTAGACCGCCAAGCCTCAACAACTCAGCCCTCTAACACCTAGCTTTTGGATCAGAGGCTCCCTTTGCAAAGTTCTCATGATGCAGCCCGTCCCATTTGGTCCACCCTCTTCATTGCTAGACGTGAGCACCGAGAACAGCAATTTCAAGATGTGGGGTTCAGGTTTAGGCTTTAGGGGTACAGAAGAATAGTAATCATGATCATAGCAGCTAGGGTGCGGTGTCTATTGGAAGCCTGGCATATGAGAAGCCTAATACCATTCTTGCGGCTCGCCTGCCAACCCCCCAGCCCACTGTTGAAGATGAAAGTCTGGGATTTTCGGTGTGCTGGGTTTCGTCAAGGAACGGGATACAGAAGCCGGAAGGAATTGCAGGGAAAGTTAAAACAGGCCTCGACGCCAACTGAGTTTAGGCTTTGGGGTTCGCAAACCCTGAACCCCGAACCCTGATCCCCAAACACTTGTCCAACGCTTCCGCCTCGGATTAGCTGGTGGCCAAAATCCTTTGTGGTACTTTACTGTAACTTTAGATCCTTACTTTTTTTGGGTTTATTGGGTTTCTTATTTAAGGCAGCTAAAAGCTTAATTTATAGCTACCCTCCTGAGTGCAGCCAAGAATCTGCTTCAGTAAATAGACCACATCATACTCGGGCCTTAACAGCGGGGTGCCTGTATAGTAGCTTTAGGGCCCAAGTATTTGCTATATGGATGTGTACGCAAACAAGGGGCCCCCAATATAGACGCCTAAATATTAGGATCCCCTTTTGATATGGACCCCAGTAAGATACCCCTAGTCGTAAACCCCCCCCCATATAGTATACATAGGCCTTCCTACACCATAGCCGGAGAAAGCTGCGGTTCATCGACTGGCAGAAGAGCTTCTTGCCAAGGGTCCTTAACCAGGAGCATCCGTTCCAATCCTCGTTGTGGAAGGGACGATTGAAGACGAAAAACCCGAAGCCCTAAAGTTTGGAACCCTAAACCCTAAACCCGAACGTGAACCGTTGAGGGTGCGTACGCTTTTGGCCTCAGCAATCCCGAACCAGACTTGGCGCGCGGAATACGCTAGGACCCCAGCTCGCATTAGCAAGAGACCTCTCTCAACCCGAAGCAGGCAACCTACACCCTGGAACCCTAAACCCTAAACCAACGCGGGGGGGGGGAGCCCTCTCCCTGGAACCCTAAACACCCTATACCCTCAGCCCTAAACAGCTGCAGGGTCCCCAGCGTCAGCCGCCACCACCGGCAGACACCAGTCCGCCCAGAGCAGCTCGACTGAGGGGTTTTCGGGGCTCAGGGTTTAGGGTTTAGGGTTTAGGGTGTAGGGTTTACCCTCTACAGCCTGTAGTGGCAGTAGTGGCAATAGTCGTCCGTCGTCCGTCGTCGTCGTAGTCGTCGTAGTCGTCGTCGTAGTAGTAGTAGTAGGAGTAGTAGTAGTAGTAGTAGTAGTAGTAGTAGGAGGAGGCTGGGTTGGTTGGGCCCAAACCGAATAATCAAAACCCCCTAAGTCTCCCTGAACCCTAAACCTAAACCCTGAACCCTAAACCCTAAAACCCCCTAAACCCTAAACCCTAAACCCTAAACCCTAAACCCTAAACCTAAACTCTGAAGCCAAAACCCTAAAACCCCGTAAACCAAAGCAAGTGCCCAAGGCGCAGCCTGCACCGCCGCCTTCATGGCAGTCCAGTCGGCCCACAGGACCGAAAAGGGATTTCAGGGCTTCGGTGCGTTCAGGGTTTAGGGTTTAGGGTTTAGGGTTTAGGCTTTTGGGTGCTTTGACCATAAGCAGGCGAACCGGTGAACCATAATCCGAGCCTAATCCCTTCGAGGCAACTCTTGAGACCATTCTCACGCTCCAGGGAACTTTCTGCATGCCATGGGGGGAGAAGGAGAGAAACTAAGCAGAATTCCCAGCATGCTTGAGGACAGGGGAGGGGCGAACTCCCAGCCTCTACGACAAAATTGCCTTACATCCGAGACCTTTTCGCAGAGCAAGCAGATTGGGAAAGATGTTTAGGGTCGCTTGCCACAGGCCAGGGCGCGCAGCCATACAGCGCGCCACGCGTCGAGCGGCTCCGGCACAGATTGAGTTGACGTAGGCAGCTGCCATAGTAGTTTGAGTTTTGGGCTCAGGAGTACTGGATACTTTTTCGCAGGCCAAGTTACTTCAATGACATGTGATTTTTCCTTGTGTTTAGACCGTATTTTCGTTTCCGTTCTGACTGACAAGAGGGCACGCAGCAGTTTCAACATAACCCCAATCTTACACAGGCCCTGCAGAGAGTGCATTCTACATTCTTGCTCTTTTGCACGCTCTTTTCGATGCATTGTCATTCTTATCTTTGAATGTGACCTTTCAGTTGATTTTGGGCCGTTTTTGTTCCGGGCATCCCAGCAGACCTAGGGAAGCTAAGGGGTGCCTCAACTATTCTATGATCATGCCTCCGAAACACTCAACCCTACACCCTACACCCTAAACCCCAAGCCCCATGCCCCAAACCCCCCCCCCCCCCCCCCCCCCGCCCCCAGTCAGCACAGAGCGAGAGCCGGAGGGAACTAGGATGAGGGCTTACTCGGAAGCCCCTTTGACTTAGTAACTGGGGTTCGCAAGTTGGGTTACGGGGATTGTTAAGCGGATACTAAGTAGACTTACTAAGTCAAAAGGGCTTCCAAGTATTAGGGCCGAGGAACCCTAGACCTCAACCCTCAACCCTCAACCCTCCACTTTCCACCTTCCACCCTAAACCCTAAACCTAAACCCTAACTGGCCGAAACTCCCAGACCCCAGAAGCCCTTAAAGGGGTTTGTCTTGGCACCCTGAATCCTGCACCGGCACCCTGAATCCTGCACCCCAAGCCCTGAGGCGGAAACAAACCTCCCCGGAAGTCACAAAGCCCTGGCTCTGAAGGCCTCAGAAGCCGCAACATTTGACACTGTAGCCCCTTTCGGCACATGGACCTTTAGGGTAAGCCTTCAGGCAGTAAACTTCAGAGCCCAAAGTGGAGTTTCATGCTAGGGTTATCGGGTCTTTCTGGGACCCTATAGTCAAAACCCTCAAATTGCTCTCCCTAAACCCTAAACCCTAAACCCTAAACCCTAAACCCTAAACCCTAAACCCTAAACCCCAAACCCACCCGGAACCCGGAACTCCTGGGCTCCAAATCTATGTCGGCCCCTGGGATATTTGTCATTTTCCCTTATTGGGCTGAAGAGGATCATATTCCGGAATATTTTTCAGAGGGGTTTAAGGGCCATCCTAGCAAGGGTAACCAAGATATCTAAGACCCACTATTGGGTTCAAGAGTGTAGGTTCCCCCTGAACAGCACTTTTACGCAAGAAAGGCACCCGTTTCATTCCTAGGTTCCCTAAACCGTTTTAGGGTTTGTTACAGGGCTTAGCGGTTCAGGGCTTCCAGGGGTGACAGCTACACTACCCCAAACCCTATAAACTCTGTAAACCCTGTAAACCCTATAAATCCTATAGACCCTACAAGCCCTAAACCCTACACCCTTTAAACCCTTTGTGGTACTTTACTGTAACTTTAGATCCTTGCCTTTTTTGGGGTTTATTGGCTTTCTTATTAAGGCAGCTATAAGTTTAATTTATAGCTACCCTCCTGAATACAACCAGCCAACCCTCAAACCTTCATCCTAAACTCTAAACCGTAAACCCTAAACCCTAAACCCTAAACCCTAAACCCTAAACCCTAAACCCCCTGACACAAGCCTCGTCGCTAACGAGTTCATGCGACGCTTCCTCACAAGCTGCATCAGGCAATCTCCTTCTGTTTCACTGGCAACATGAGCTGCGGGAAGGGCAAGAATGGCTTTAGGGTTTAGGGTTTAGGGTTTAGGGTTTAGGGTTTAGGGTTTAGGGTTTAGGGTTTAGGGTTTAGGGTTTAGTCTGGCATGCACAGCTTCGCGGTGCGGCTCAGATACTGTAGCGGAAGGTGCCATTTTTTTTCGGCCCTTCTCTGTCATCAGCGCTGAATCCCGCTTGGCTGTGTGCACCAGTGTATACTGCCAGGGCTCCCTTGTGCTTGAACGCTGTTGGACTAAACCCTAAACCCTAAACCCTAAACCCTAAACCCTAAACCCTAAACCCTAAACCCTAAATTCCCACCCAGGCCTGCTTAGGCCGTACCCACCCTCTTCTAGGGTGCCTGGACCCAGCACTACACCCGACAGCGATTAACACCATCGCTTGGAGTTACTATGCAAGCCTGAAGAGTTGTGTTGAGCGTGAGCTGCACCTCCAGTGCCGGTGCAGTACCCCGCCTGGGGTACCCCGCCCCCCTTCTCCGATTCTCAAGTATTATTAAGAAACCCTAAACCTGGCGACCTGATACCAAAATTGGCTTCTGCACGTCGCCCCTGGGCCCCCCTCTGGAGCCCCCTGGTGCCGGGCGCCTGGCGGAGCGTGTTCAGGGACCAGAGGGGCGGCAAGGCAGGTCAGCCTGGGCGATTGCTCAAAAACCCACTACCAAACCCTCCCTGGCCCCCTCCTGGCCTGACCCCCCCCTTACCCGCCTGGCCCCCGCTTGGCTGCCCCTCCCCCCCCCTCCCCTCCCCCCCCCTCCCCCCCCCCCCCCCCCCCCCCCCCCCCCCGCCTCCCCCCTCCCCCCTCCCCCCCCTCCCCCCTTGTTCTTGGCCGCCCCCACCTCTGGATTCTGGCGCCAAATCCCCCACAGCCACGGCAACCTCCTACTCAACCGATCAAAGGATGGGGGTGGGAAGTGGGAATTTAGGGCGCTAGCCCGAAACCCTAAAAGGAGAAAAGTTGGGTGGATGCCTGCGTAAGCAGGGGGTGGGAAAAATAAAACAACCCAACCTTTCTGGTTGTGGTGGCTCCAACTTCAATATACGCCGCCGCGACATATGCCGCCCCCTCACACCTCCTGGGTGTGTTGGGGCGCCATCTCCGCATGACATCTACTGCCGCGGCGCGGCGACACGCCCTAAACCCTAAACCCTAAACCCTAAGCCTAAACCCTAGATCCTAAACCCTAAAGCCTAAAGCCTAAACCCTAAACCCTAAACCCTAAACCCTAAACCCTAAACCCTAAACCCTAAACCCTAAACCCTAAACCCTAAACCCTAAACCCTAAACCCTAAACCTAACCCTAAACCCTAAACCCTAAACCCTAAACCCTAAACCCTAAACCCTAAACCCTAAACCCTAAACCCTAAACCCTAAACCCTAAACCCTAAACCCTAAACCCTAAACCCTAAACCCTAAACCCTAAACCCTAAACCAAAGCAGGCTTTGGCATCCGGATCCCACCCAGCCATTAACTGCCTCCGATGTACGAAAAACTACCCAGGCGGGAGCTGTGGTTTGGGGTTCAGGGTTCAGGGTTCAGGGTTGAGGGTTGAGGGTTTAGGGTTTAGGGTTTAGGGTTTAGGGCTCATTCATTCACAGTTTGGGGTTTAGGGTTGAAGGTTCAGTCTAGCATTGGTCGAACGCCATAGTAAATTCGTATACAGACATGCCCAACGCAAGACCACCCAAACACAAGTCACAACGAAACAAACCAGAGCCAGCCGAGCACGGGGGAGCATTTTCAGGCATATCCGCGCAACAACTGAACCCTGAACCCTCAACCCTAAACCCTCAACCCTCAACCCTAACAAGCCCTGAAAGTTTTTACTAGGTAGGCCGGTGGGATGTTTGATATTTTCCCCGAGTGGGTTCAAGAGGATGATCTCTATTACATCTTTCAGGAGGGTTGCAAGGGACCTTAAACCCTATACCTGTAGAAGGGTTAAGGGCCATCCCATTTAGGAATCTTTTCAAAGGTTTTAAGGGGCATCCTAGTTTCGTCGGGACCATTCTAGGCTGAAGGGTCCTTCTCGCCGAGAGAATTTCCGGGCCTATAACTGTTGGACAAGTTTTCCTAGCCTAAACCGTAAACCCTAAACCCGAAGCCCTAAACGCATCCTCTGGAAGTCAAGTTTCAGGTTCTGTTGGGGTATTCTAGGACGAAGGGCCTTCCTGAAACTTGTTCGTTGAACTTACTTCGCCTTTAGGTGAACTTTAAACTTTTTGGGTTTCCTTATTTAGTAGAAGTATTAAAGTTTAACCTTTTTTCCCCTTGGTTATTGGAGAAGTAAGTTTAGGGTGGACTCCACGTTTCGTGGCCGAAAGTCGGGATGTACTTCAGGGTTGAGGGCTTATGGGTCTGAGACGGCTTGTAGTAATTTGGGCTTACCGGGCTTCTCGGGCCAAGGCTGAAGGTTTCGCAGGGCTGTATACCATGATTCACCCTAAGCACAAAGCCTTTCAGTTCCGGCATGTTCTGGCCAAGTACGCTGGAACCCGCCCACAGGTACTGCCGGCGTTCGTAGAATGCTCAGACAACTTTCTTTCTTCGCCACTCTCCTTATCCTGCAGGAAAACTGTAAGCCCTATACCTCACCCTCATAGTCTAGGATCCAGAGTAGACCCTTATTCCCCCTTTTTGGGGGGGGTTTAGGGTCCCTTATAATCCCCTTTAAACCAACAAGGGCACCCTCCTTCTTCCTAGGTTACTCTTGGGTCTAGTTGGCTCATAATCCGGCCTGGAAGGGTTAGGTCAGCTTTGGCCTTGGACACAGAGGCCCAAATCGTTACCAATCTTTAGGGTTCAGGTTTTAGGGTTTAGGGTTTAGGGTTAGTGCCCAAATTTGTTGGTTAAATTACTGTTATTGGTGAGTGTATACAAGGTTCCCTTTTAATATTGGTGAGTGTATGTATTGGGTGTCCTTTTTGGGGGTACAAGAAAGTAACTTTAGATCCTTACCTTTTTGGGTTTATGGGTTTCTGATTAAGGCAGCTAAAAGTTACATTTTTTACTACCCTCCGAAGTGCAGCCAAGAATCGTTACCAATCTTATTCCCCCATGCCCCCTTTGTAGTTGAACACTGGGTTTAGGGTTCATGGCTTAGGGTTTAGGGTTTAGCACCCCTCCACCCCCCCCCCCCCCCCCCCCCCCCCCCCCCAAACCACACACAAACCCTACATAAACCCTGAACCTGAAATCCTGAGTCAAACACCCATCCGCGTGAAACCAGCCCCTTTTCTGTGAATCCCTAATCTTAAACCTTAAACCTTAAAACCTAAACCCTAAACCTTGAACCCTAAGCCTCCCATCCAAAGCGGAGGGCTTCCTGATCCGGGGCCCCGAAAGCTGGGACTGATGCGCAGGCCTTTCGTGCTCGTATTGGGTTTAGGCTTGGGATCCCCCCTTATACTAACAGTCCCTCATAGGGATTATAGTAATTACCCCGACTAGAATGCCTACTAAGGACTGTTAGTACACAAGGAGGAACAGCCCAAGTATTATGATTTGCAGTTCAGGTTTGGGTGTCCGCTGTGATGTGAGGGTGTGTGTGTGTGTGTGTGTGTAATGTGAGGGTCTGTGTGTGTGTGTGTGTGTGTCTCTGTGTGTCTCTGTGTGTCTCTGTCTGTCTGTGTGCGTTGCGAGTCAACCCTAAACCCTGAGCCCGAAATCCCAGGGCTCCGGATTTCATCACAGGCCACATCTTCGGAATAGGTGGGCTTCGTTTACCTGGGGGCTCTATTTACCTACAGTTTAGCAGTACCTACCCCTTGCTTAGTAGGTTTAACCCATAAAACTGTAGGCAAAGAGAGTCGCAGGTAGGGTTCAGGGCCCAGGGCTGAGGGCTCAGGGCTTAGCTGTTTTGGGTTTAGGGTTGCGGCTTTGCGGGTCCTGGCTTGTGGGGTTACCCCGGGTTTTGGGCTCTTGTGGGGTTAAGGGCTAAAACTGGATCTTCATAGCAGGTTTGGGCAGATAGGAGGGTTGAGGGTTCAGTTTAGAAGCAATTATGTCTGAATTCATAGGTATATTCCAGAAAACTTGCAAGCAAATAGCGATCACTGAGGGCCTATCAGGCTTTGCATCTAAACACCCCCTAAAAGCCAAAAGCCTTCTAAGCCCCAAACGCTCTTCAAACCAGGGAACTTCAAACCCTCTAAGCCACAAAAATGTTCTAAACCCCAAGCGCCCTCTAAACCCGAAAATCGCTCCAAACCCGAAAAAGCTCCAATCCCTGAACACCAAAACCTTAGGAAACCTTAAACCCCAAAACCCCAAGATTCCCTAATCAAGCCCAAAAACCCGACCCTTATATGTAGGACATTGGCACTACGATTCTGCGCAGGGCGTCTACCAGGGTGAGCTGCCACCAGAGATGGTGGAACTTAGCGAGTTTCAGGCAAGCGATTGCCGTGAATACATAAGCATGGAGCAAAAACATAGGACCTCAGTTTTTTGTTGGTTGCTAGACCTGAGGCAACGATCGATAGGGATACTTGGGGGGCATTCGTATTTACCTGTCAGAGGTGGAATTCTTGGATTTGTGAAAGACAGACTGACCCTAAACCCTAAACTCTAAACCCTAAACCCTCAAGCATTTGCCAAGGATGTTTTCATTGATCAAGAACGAAAGTTAGGGGATCGGAGACGATCGATTTAGGGTGTAGAGTTTCGGGTTTAGGGTTAAGGGTAACTTCCTACGTAGTCTTAGCCATGAGCTATGCCAACTAGAGATTTCGTTGCCTACATGACCCCTTGAGCACCTTAGGAAAAATCAAAGTCTTTGGGTTCCGGGGCGAAGTATGGTCGGAAATTCCGAAACCCCTAAACCCTGACCCTTAAACCCTAAACCATAACCCCAACAGTTTGACGTAGAGGCACCAGGTGTGGAGAAACCCTAAACCCTAAACCCCTCAACCCCCCAAACCCCAAACCGCCAAACCGCCAAACCCCTAAGCCAAGCCGCAGGCCCCCCCGGCAGGGCCACTCTGAATTTCGCGTGTGTCCGCGACATCTGGGGTTGAAGCTGCGCCTGCGCCAAACTCTCTCTACTCCATCCCCTTAAAGGTTTAGGGTTTAGGGTTTAGGGGTTTAGGGTACGTTTAAGAATGCTCATCGCAAATCATACTCGTGGTCGGTTTAGGGCTATGATAGGGGCAGGGTTCACAGTTTTTTCGGGGTCAGGGGGGATTTTAGGGTTTCTGCTGGAGGGGTAATTAGCCTGAAGCCCTGCGCCCTACCAACATAGAGTAACTGGGGCTGACATTGGAGGCTATGTTAGGGGTGGGAAGGGGCGGGGTGGCCAGCAGCCCCAGCCCCAGCCCCAGCCCTTATTTACCATTAGACGCAGCAGCAAAACGGGCCAAAAGCCGCGACGTGGCAACTTGATGCCCCTCTAAAGGGTTATGCAGCTAAGTTTCTGCAAATCCCATAACGACTGACCCCCAAGCCCCTCAACCCCAACCTCAAAAAACTCTGAAGACCTCAACCCTAAACCCTCAACCCCTCAACCCCAAGCATCAACCTTGCACATAAACCCAAACCTCAGGTTTCTGAGAGGCCTGGCCCTAGCCCTTGAGGGTTGCTCAGCCCCTCAATTTGGAGTTACAGAGTGATCCACGTACAGCTGTCAGGTTAAGGGTTTAGGGTTTAGGGTTTTGGGGGCTAGGCTCAGGCCCTGAGTTTTGATAGGGTTTTCAGATTCAGACAAAGACTCATGCATGCATCCTGGGCTTGGAGGATATGGGAGTTTACGAAAATAGGGGATGCTTGATATAGACCCCACACTCGTAGGATCCCTTTATAATAAGCACCTCAATAAGGCCCCCCCCCCTTTTCGTAAACCCCCAACCCTAAACCCTAAACCCTAAACCCTAAACCCTAAACCCTAAACTGGGATTTTGAAGGTCCTTTCTCTGTTTCGAGACATCGCCTTCTCACGGCCGACCTCTGCAGCTTGCCGCGCCAAGCAAAGCATGGCAGAGATTCGCACAACTTGAGGGTTTAGGGTTTAGGGTTTAGGGTTTAGGGTTTAGGGTTTAGGGTTTAGGGTTTAGGGTTTAGGGTTTAGGGTTCAGGGTTTAGGGCTTAGGGCTTAGGGCTTAGGGCTTGGGGATTTTGATTGCAGGTGTAGGATAGTTTTCACCACTCACTTCCAGTCGAGACTCTGCACTAAGCAACACCAGGGGGTTCAGCTTAATCAAACGACAAGCAGCGGGTTCCGTGAAGCAAAGACGGCAGCCGCGCCCGACACAGCCGGCCTTTGTTCAGGCACGAGGGCACTCGGAAACCCTAAATCCTAAACCCTGAACCCCAAACTCATAAGGATCGAGGGGGGAGGAGGGGGGGGGGGTTTGGAGGGCCCAGGGTCCCCCAAGCAAGACCTGAATCAGGGCTCTACTTGGAGGTTCATGGTACTCTTTGACCAAGTATAACTGTACTTATAACTGTACTTAACAGCCCCTTAAGTGCCCCAATGTGGTTTTTCGTACAGTTATAAGCACAATTGCACTTGGTCAATAAGTACCATGAACCTCCAAGTACTTACCTCATTTTACCCAGAGTCTAAAGTAGTACCTACCCCTTAAGTAGCAGGCATATCTTAACCCATAGAACTGTTAGCAAAGAGAGAGTCAAAGGTAGATCACACCTTCCATTTATGTGGGCTTGGGGTCTTTGAGGCCGCAGGCCCTGGACCCTAAGCCCCCACAAGTCCCATAAAGTTAGGGTTTAGGGTTTAGGGTTTAGGGTGTAGGGTTTAGGGTTTAGGGTCCTACATGGTCGCTGAGTATGGGCCCTTAAAGAGGGACCCCTTCTATACCCGCTTATACACCCCAAGGGCCCATACTTCAGGACCCTCTAAAGGAGGTAAGGGATCTGTTTCAGGGACCATATGAAGTAGGGCTTATATTGCTTGTATCCCCAAAAGGACAGCCAATATCTACACTCACCAAGAGGGAAAGGAACCTTATATACACTCACGAATAACAGAAATATAAACCCTGCTTCGTATAGGTACCCTTAAACCGCAAGCCTGAAGGCCGAGTCATGACGGCGCATTCGCGGCAGCCGGGTCTGCACGTGAAGCTCAAGGCCTCGGTAAACAGCGTTTGGGGTGTGGGGGTGTGGGGGTGTGGGGTTTAGGGTTTAGGGTTTAGGGTTTAGGGTTTAGGGTTTAGGGTTTAGGGTTTAGGGTTTAGGGTTTAGGGTTTAGGGTTTAGGGTTTAGGGTTTTGGGGCTTCGAGGGTTATCACTGTAGGGCTCCCGGGCGGTTTGGGGGTGGGGGGGGGGGGGGGGGGGGGGGGGGGGTGTGGGGATGAGACCCTTCATCTTATTCCCCTGTAAAAACCCCATATCTATATATATATATGTATATATACCTTGTATAGTCCCGCTATACCTAAGTAGCCCCTGAAGGGCCCCTAAATAACCCTAACCCCTAAGGTCCCTTATAAGGGTCCCTCCTTCAGTCCCTTGAGGGGGGGGGGGGGGTTGGGGGTGGGTTCGGTAGGGTCTCGGCGGTGTACGGCTTCATCTTCTTGCAGGGCAGCATGAGGACATGATCTTGCTTGCTCTTCGTAGAAATCCTTGCTCTTCGTAGAAAAGTTGGGACTTTCGTACCAACTTCTATCGCCCTCAACTTCAGAGGTTGAACCCTAAACTCCAAACCCTAAACCCTAAACCCTAAAACCGTGAGGTTGAACCCTAAGCCCTAAACCCTAAACTCTCGAAACCCGACCACACCTTCGGAACCTTCAGTCTTGTTACTGGGACAGGGTTGAGGGTTGAGGGTTCAGGGTTCAGGGTTCAGGGTTTAGGGTTTCGGGTTTAGGGTTTAGGGTTTAGGGTTTAGGCCAAAAAGCCCACTCGACTCTGAGCCTCGAAGCGGGAGGCGCCACAGCCGAGGAACCGGATGGTTGTTGCTGGCTCTCTACAGGACTGACCCCTTCTATACCCGCCTATACACCCCTTAAGGGCCCTTATTTCAGGACCCTCTAAAGGAGGTAAGGGACCTGTTTCAGGGACCATATAACTTTGTGGTACTTTATTGTAACTTTAGATCCTTACCCTTTTTGGGTCAATTGGGTTTCTGAATAAGGCGGCTAAAAGTTTAAATTTTTAGCTACCCTCCTGAGTGCAGCCAAGTGCCCTGCAGGCCCTTCGAGGAGTCGAGAGTCTGAGCCTGAAACCGAAAACCCCACCCTTAACCCTAAACCCTAAACCCTAAACCCTAAGGCCTTCAATGAGTCGAGACCATGTCATGTGGGGAATGAGGGCTATCTTGGTCTGTCGGATTTCGTGTCGCAGCAGTTCATGCCTTTGAAGAGTTAGGTGGAGGGGTTACTCTTGCATGTTGAGGGT